GTACGGTACTTAGGATCCCTGGGATACTACTATTTGCTAGAAACGCTCAAGGAAGAAAGAGAAGGAAAAGACTCTCCTTGTACGGAAGGTTTTTTCTTGCCACGTGAGGGGTGACTACATGGCGGCCACGTTCTGGGCTGGATGTGCGTTCTGGGCTGGGTCTACGTTCTGGGCTGGGTTTTGTTTTTCTTTTTTTTTTGATTTTTTCGGAAATTTGTCCGGGCGGCTCCGGTGCTGACGGGCCGTAAATATGTTTTTTTTTGTGGCGGTTTGGTCGGGGGCTGGGGTATGGTGGATGAATAATACATGGGTTCCAATGGTTAATTAGCGGTTAATTAGTGCGAACGGTAGACGGAGGGCACAGCCGAGGCGCGTGGAGTCGGGTGCATGGGGTGTATTGATCACTTTGCGGGACTGGAAGAAAGATATTAGGGACATGTATGCGGCTGATGGGAAATGTCGTGGGATGTATACTCGTACTGGCTCCGGGGGTATGGAACACGCATGGTACTATCTCCGGCACCGCCGCATACTAGTGAAAATGACGATACTAGTGAAAATGACGATACTAGCGAAAATGACGATATCAATGAAAATGACGTGCACTAAACATACCGAAAGAGTACTAAAAATACCTAACGTGCACTATTTTCTTTGGTAGGCTCATCCGATTGAAGGGGCAAAACTGTATTAATAATAGACATAAGAAACCTTTAAACAGCTCCCAGCTACGTACCAAGTGTCTTAGCTCGGCCCGTCCCTCCCGTTAGTCACGGCCTGGACGGTCCTCGTGGCCCGTATCTGTTGACGTCTTGGATATTACGTCATCGACTCCTAGGATAGGTCTCCTGTAGTAGTCGCTTCAACTCAGATGGTTGTAGCGGCCTTAAGGAGCCAGCTTCCTGTGACTCGCCACGCCTTCTGGTGTGACCCTCGAAAATCGACGAGCCAATTAATTTTGTTAAGTTCCCCAAAGAGTTGTCGGCTGCGGCCAACATTGAGTTCAAGCTCATGGGCTTGGAAAATTTTGGCTCTTGCCACCAGTATTTAGAAGTTTCGCAGTTGTTGTGGATATGGCTTGGGAAAGCGTCGACTAAACATGTCGAACGTGCACTAAACACTTCAGAGGTGCACTAAACACTTCAGAGGTGCACTAAACACTTCAGAGGTGCACTAAACACATCAAAGGTGCACTAAACACATCGAACTTGGACCAAGGCCTCTGGCGCCTTTGACCAATCTTTCACCACACGCCCCGACGACACGTGAAAAACAGGTCATCAGAGCTTTCATACGTATAAGGTGATGAATCTGCAACGTGGGCATATAAAACCCCCAGACACGCTACAAGGCACGGCCGTGTCAATACACAGCACGGCGATATTCTAATGCCTTCGGCGTGTTCCAACTGTAGGGCGGGCTTCTCCAAAAACACGTGATACCTTCATTTGGCAAAAAAAAATGTGTCCGTATCGAAGATTTTTGTGCCCGGCTTTGCTTCATGTAGATTGTGGAGAGCTCAGGCTTCTTCTGCTTTCGTGCCGGCATCGATACTTCTGACAAGGAAGTATCGAATACATCTGAAGAACAGAATAAGTCATCATATATATACTCCAGCGCCAGAAGCAAACGTGATCTTCTATATGCAGCCTTTCATGATGATCGACGTTTTCATTGACCTTGGCGACTCCGGAAAGCAAGTTGGGGACACTTCGTTCAAGCGCATCACGGACCAATGCATCAGTAGTCGTCCGGTCCATTAAATCCAACAACACACCGAATTTGTGGTCCGGTGGTCATGGGCAGTGTTTCATACGATGCACGTACTTTTCGCAGCCTCAGCGCAATCAAATAATAACCTAAAAAATGATTCCAAAAAAGATTGCAGCACCACAATTTCGCATATGGTCTCCCACTACACTACTCAGTGTGGCCCTATGCAGCTTAACTAACGTTGATCGGACGGGAAACAGTGCTTCCTGCATGGTATGGCCGCAACCGAAAGTCCATTCTGTTTGCCAAATTCGAAGCATTGAATTATTATACTGTTTTGCAAGCCATTAATTTTTGGTCAACCCTCTCAAGTTCTTCGACTTCAAAATGCCTCCTCGCTAAACATCCATGAGATGACCTGCCCCTCCGCCAGAAAATCCTTTGGGGGACTTTACAAGATTAAAGTGGTTCGTCACCACGATGAACCGAGCCAATTCTGCTTGCTCCTTAAATACTTCCTTTGACAATCTGAGAAGCCTCAAATCATCTGTTAAGTCATTTGTAAGCTTTTGCTTGGGGACCAGGAGGAAAAGGCAAATGTCGTCTTGCTGCCTTGTCAAATGAACTAGGGTCACGGGCACTCTGGGGAACATATCCTATGGGACGATGACTTCTAGTTACTTTTATTCAATTGGTAGACATTGGTCATGGTAAGAAGTCTTTTGAGAGGAGTCACATCTTCTTTGGGAGATTTCGTGAATTCGTGCTCGCGCCCTCACCTGATCCAATGTTGCAATCTAATCTAGGCTTATTTATTATGTTTTTCGTAAGGAGTTGGGGCCTTAGACCCCTCCAGTGACACCCAATCATATGAAGTTTCTTTAAAAATTTAATGCCACGTCGATAACTCGACAAAGGGCGTCACTCAACTGGTCTAACTTTGACATGTAGGTTTCTTGTTCTGTATCATTTACCTCCAAAACTTATCCTAGAAATCGGCAACTTACTATGGAATAAGTAAAGAGATGCGTGCCAATATCATCATCCAGGCCGTAATTAACGAAAGAGGGCGGGCCGAGTTGCGAGACCAGGTACGTACCGGGGAGCTGCTTTAAGGTTCATTTTGTTCCTTTAATCAGATAAATCCACCAAAGAAAAGATACGTCTCGAGAGAGATCTGCTACGAAAAAGAACGTAACAATCTGCTTCTTAGCACCAGTTGAAAATTGAGAGCTGACTGAATATTTGGTCTGAGACTTTAAATTTTTGTCTCATCAATCAAGAAGACAGCAATGTGAACAAGACATGCTGGGGAAGATATCTAGAATACTCTCTGACCTCGGGTATGAACAGTTGTGATCTTGTCAATGAGCAGCACCCCAAAATAATAAGTTCCTCTAAATAGTTTGATTGTCTTGGCTTTGATTGCTCTTGAATTGAACTAGTTATCCAATTATTCATCTCAGAAAATGAGGATAGATCAATAAACCTGTTTAATGCTTAGTCTAGTAAGGGAGCGGGTCGAGGGTGAGGAGGGTCCCAGGAAACCAGTTATGATATTGTTTTCTGATCAAAAAAAACTTCATCTTTGTAGTAAAATGTTTCAATGGGAAAAACTTTTGCGAATCGACTTAATGCATTCCGGTACAAGGGGTGAACTCTACGATAAATCAAAGAAGTTATAAAATTTTATCATCAATATATTAAATTAATGAAATTTAAAACAGTGATTTGGATTTGATTTGAAAGACTTGCGTTTTGCCCCTTTCATCAGGCTCAAGCTAGTGAAATACTATCGGGAAACTACGAAGCGTTCGGGCATTCAGCTTGAAACCTAATTCAGTACTTTTGATAAATTGTGAATCCGCGGTTCATCTTGTTCTGCAACTAACCTAACGTTCTAAAACTCTATGACACTCTTGACCCTGATCAGTCCATCAAATGCATGACTACAATGGCTTAAATTATATCAATTTGATGCTTCAAGCCATTGATTCTGCAAATGAACACAGACGACCTCACTACGGCTTTACACTCGTTGGTTGTGTATGATCACCATCTATGGAGTCTCAAATAAGGGTATGCTTTTATATAAGACTGTTCTAAGTATGAGCCACTTGCCAATCTAGTAAAATAAAAGAGTGAGTCGAAGAGTGCGCATGCTTCTCATTTCTAATATTAGTATACACAGCCACTCCAGGTGCAAATTACTTTATCGTAAATCAGTTGAGCTCATGTAAAGCCAAAACTTTACTTTGACTTTTGCGCTCCTCGTAGTATTTATGAATTCGTTTTTCCAGCCCTTGCTAGCGAGTCCCCCTTTCCCTCAGCTTTCTGTTTTTGATCTGCAATAAGCATCTGAAATCACAGACACAGGCCAAAAGAATTTGAAAGAAGGTGAGTGCGAGAATAATTTCTTAAAATTTAAAGATAAATTTGCTCAGTTATCAGTCGTCTTTTAGACACCGTATTGCTATTCTCCACGTTCAATGAAATACGGGTGTGACTTTGGAAGAGGAAACTTCACCCAAGTCGAATCAGCATCAGCTGAAGAGATGATATTATAGTCTAGCTCCACAGATTTATTTCAAAGTATTCTTCACTACATACCTGTCAGAAATTGTCCTTATGTGAGTTCAGGACAAGCGGCTCTGAGAGTGTCTTACACGGCAAAAGACTATATCCGGAAACTGAGAAGAAAAAAGCAAAATCATTTACATAAAGTTCTTGAACAATACACAAAACCGAAAGCTCTGAACCATTGAAGAAAAATTGCTTTGAAATAGTGATTACACATAAAACAAGAAGGGTCTCTCAAAATGACCTTTATCTGCTATACGTGGTGTGTGTCTAATTTAATCGCATTTGGATTGATGAATTCGAGGGCCTAAGACTTCATTCGACTGTCAACAAATAGTTTCGTTTTTTTTTTTAACAATGAGCTAGACAGGAACCGTGTGGAGCCTTAAATCAAGGAAAACAATGAGCAATATTTAGTATCCGATTAGGCTATTTCCAGAAATCGTCAGGAATTGTCTCAGTCCCCTAGGTATCTGGGCCTTTCCCTTATTATTGCGATAGCATTGGGATCTGAGAATTGGACCTGTTGTCCATAAAGTCTGTACCAATTGAGACTGAAGTCCCAACCACCACGCATCTATTATACTTTTCTTATTTCATTAAGAGCCATTTGTAAAAGTATGAAAAAAGCCTTTAAGTTTGTGAATCTATGTGGCAGAGTTTACGTTTTCCATTTTATATTCAATAGAGATGGAACGAATAAATATAATCTCATTTGGCCAATAAAATAATATAAAAAAAGATCATGTTTCACTTTGGATTGAGCTGACACTTGTTCATCTATCAACAACGCACGGTGATGATAATTAGGACTTTTGAACATAAAACTATGCATTGGAAGGTGTGGAGAGCTCTTGTCTTTTAGGAATGGCATGCAAAAGAAAGAAATCATACAATAATAAATAGACCCTGGGTAATGATGAAGACAAGGGTTGAGCCTGGAGTATTCGATTCGATCAATGATTTTGCTATGTCTGGTCTAGGATTGCTCAATGCAGATTAGATCATGAAACGTAAACACTCAAGGGCGGTGAACTACGTCACCACATATGAATGTCTATTTTTTTGCATTTCATCGCCACAAAAAATTTATCTCATTGATTTAAAACTAAGCTCAAGTTTGCTTTCTGATTTCGCCACAGAACCACGGAGAGATACTTTATATGAACAACAAAAGGCAGTCTATTTGTCTAAGTGTTGGCTTTTGTCACCCAAGAATATTGGTGAACAATCTCCCAGCTTGCATTACGAGGCCTGAAAATATTCTTCAAATTAGTAATAAAATATATACTCATGAGGTATTAGTAATAAAACAGTGGAGAAAAGGCGCACAGAAACATAAAGGTTGTTCGAGAGGCATCAAAAATCAGATCCAATCGCGTTCATTGGGTAAGACCAAGCATCTCTACACATCTCTGAATGCCTCTTGCATCAGCAAAGTTTCCACCATATTCCTTTCAGAGCTCTGAGATTGCGTTTCCTCGGGGATTCGTGCAGGCACATTTGGGCCCTGGTTCATGCCTTGAGAATGCACAATCTTTTCAATTGAGTCTGCGCTTGGCATGAAAATGACCCTGGTTCCGGGGTTTCTACTCATGTTCTGCAATGCGTCCAAATACCTGATTTGTAAAGCTGCAGGCGACGACAAGATGTCAGAGGCCTTTCTCATTTGACGGGCGCTCTCCACCTCAGCCTTGGCATTGATAATCTTGGCCTCTCCAATTCTGCGGGCTTCAGCTGCCTTTGCAAAAGAGTCCTGGACGCTGTGAGGCAACGTCAAGTCCTTGATCAAAATCGACTCGACATTGACACCCCATTCCGAGGCGGTTTTGCTGATCACCTGCTCAATCGATTCAGCGATTTCCTCTCTCTTCTCAACAACGTCTTGCAAAGTGCGGTTTCCAATTACGTCACGCATGGTATTTTGCGTCCTCTCATTAATGGCCTTGTGAATATCGGAGATCGAGAAAATAGCCTTTTGCGGGTCGATGATGTTGTAGTAAACGACCGAGGTAATAGCCACTGACAAGTTGTCACGTGTGAAACAGGACTGTGAAGGAAGCTCTTGAGTGTTGATTTTGATGTTGACACGTGTCAATTGCTCAGACCATGTGTTGACATACGACGTGCCGGGCTCGACAGTTCTCGCTAACGCTCCGAAAGTTTGCACCAAGCCAACCTCACCCTGATCGACAGTCTCATAGGGATTTTGGCAGAAGCAGCAGAAAACACCGCAACACCCGAAAAGCTTACCCATGTTCAGGATAAAACGTTGGTACGAATCCATGGGTGGGGTGGGATAGGTCTTCGCAAAATTTTTGACAACCATTTCAGGCTTTACGTAGCCAACGGACTCCTTGACAATAGGGGCTTCCTCGTAACTGTCGGACATTATAAGAGGGGTATTTCGGAACAAAGGAATTTGCTTCTTGAATAACAATCCCAAATTTGCTCGATTCGAGCGGGCGCCGAGTCACTTTATGTATGATTTTGCGGGCAGCGCGGCTCTGCATGCGGCTTGACGGAGGAGACTGCATACCGAGGGGGGTCAAGCCACACATGGTCGTGCACAGTACGAAAACAGCCAGCACTTTCCGTACGTCATATGCTAGGTTGGTAGCAGCGCAGGCTTGCAATAAAATCACAAACAGAACACCAAGAACAAAACCTCAGGGCCTGCACTCCAAAAGCTCTTGGACAGGAGTGAAATGGACACTTGCTATGGGCATGCCAAGAAAACTCAAGGCCTGACGTATGATAGAGAACAGCCTGCAGACAGTGAGATAAACAGTACAGCCTTGAATCGTAATTTTGCCACCAAGCGCTACGCCTCCCCCAACTCGGCACTAAAAACAGCGCTAACCCACATAAAGATGCCATTCTTTGTCACGAACAAATTCGGCCCAGTCAATGCACACGGACCCCATGGGATTACATGCCCATGCTTCAATCACGGTTTCCTCAACACGCTGCAAATTGCCAATTTCGTACTGGTTCAGGTGCAGACGGAACCGCTGCGTCATCAGGGCACGGTCGTGCGCCGTGCAACAGGTCATGCCGCACACCAACAACGCCAAAGAAAGCGAAACTTTGAACTTGGTTCCCTGCAAAACATCTAGGATTCCAAGCGCTTGGTGGAGCAAATGCTGCTGCAGGACGCAGTTAGGGGGCGATTTTTCGAGCGATGTCGCCAACTGGATTCTGCATACATGCGTGTAGAGCTCAAAAAGAGCAACATGCAATTTGCAGTTCTGTTCGTCTTCCTGAAGCAACTCGAGGTGCACCGGCAGAGGCTTGCACTCAGTGATTTTGTGCTTGAACTCGTCGATGACACGTTGTGTGTTTTCGTAGTATATCAAAGTGAGCTCCTGCATGCGTGGGTCTTTGGCCCGGGCCCTGCGGTCTAAATAAGCCCACTTTTGGCCGAGCTCAGCCCTGGCTTTGCCCATGGCACCTATAATATCGTAAAGCGGCCCCACAATCCCCTGAAGTGGATCTATGCCGTACTCGGGTCGAGGCAATAAGGCTTGCTCGTATTCTTCAGCCGCGAAAACCGGTCCTTCGAGGAGGCATTTTGATGAAAGTAAGTCGTGGAACTTGAAGTCCGAAATAAGCCACTTGATGTCATTGCTAAATCCAAAAAGATCCGTCACCTTTAGAATTCCTCCGTAAGATTGGATGAGTAAAGAGCACTGGGTCATAAAGCCACGCCAGTTGCGCACGTCGCCGGTGCAAACCTCAATTCCAATGAAAATGAGATAGAATGCAAAGAGAACGAAGAATTGGTGCTTGTCGTTCGGTCGGAGATAGTCACCCATCTGCTTGCACATGCACTTGGTGGCTTTTTGCATGTACTGCCACGGCTTGGTGAAATTGCTGCGTGGTTTGCGGAGCTCGATGAAAAAGCCGCCCCACGCAGTAAGTGCATATGTGATACCCTCATTCAGCGCAGCAATACTTAGGAAGGTCTTGATGAAGTAGTTCAGCGTGTCGAGCCCGATGGATATAAACGTGCTGTACTGTTCCCTGTAGCATTCAAGGAACATCATGCCCTCGTTGTCCAAGTTGAATAAATACGGGAACCCAAAGCCGGCGAGAAACTCCGTGGGGATGAACACGTCGGTAGGACTTTGGCCGAAACCATCGGGAGTTTTTGCGTCATCCGCCCCGAAACGCAGTTGTTCGAGTGCCATTTGGAAATTCTCCAAGTCCTCGCGGAAACCCTCAAGCTCCTGAACAACCTCGTTAGCTCGGAAATCCTCGGGGGCATTATCGAGGAAATCTATTTTCATCTTCTCGCGCGAGCTGGGGGGCAAATCAGCAGAGCTAGTCACGATGTGCCTTTCAGGGTCATTTGATTTCGAGGGAGTTGGAATTGTTGCATCCAGAAGTGCTTTCGACGATGATCTTGGTGCTTCATCTGCCGATAATTCATATAGTGATGATGGTTCATTTAGTGATGATGATTCCTGGAGAGATGATGGATCCTGGAGAATTGTTGAATCATGTTGTGACGAGACTTGCTTGCTTTGCGAGTCTCGCTTTATCCATGAATTATGTGTCGACAAATCTGATGGTTTCAACAGATCTGGCGTTCTTGAAAAATCTGGGGTTCGCGACAGATCCAGTTTTCTCGACAGATCCAGTATTCTCGGCAGATCACGCAGTTTTGCAATAGCCTGCGCACCCAGTGAACTGGGCGATGAAGCAACATACGTGTCTTTGGAAACCGAAGTCCCTTTCTCACTCACGACGGCCGCAATCTTCTGTTTCTTCATGGGCCACTCGCACTCTTCGGCCCTAGTCTTGCAACTGCCGCATTTTGGATGAACCTCGTCACATTTCTTCCTGATGAGTTAGTAATTTGTCGCCAAAGTTTAGGGCTTGTGACTAGAAAACAAGCCTGGAAATTGGAAATTGACGTACTTTCGCTTTCGGCAACGGAGGCATCCCGAGATCGACCGGGCCCTGGCCCCGCAGAACCGGGTGGTCTTCCCCATTGGGAGCTGCACGCCAACTGGCTTGCTGTTCTTGTCAACCTGCTTGAATGTCGCGCCGCTGAGCGTGTGGAACATTTGTAGATGCGTTCCCAAAAATATGCTCAGCGCACCGATGGGGAGTTAGGCGACAGGCTGTTCTCGATCATTAACCACGATGTCGCTGATCTGTTGCAGCGCGCGTACTGCCGGTTTGGGCCACTAGCGGTTCCGGCGCGCAAAGGCCGGGGCACGTGATGCTAACATCCGGCCGAAAATCTCATTTTTGGATTGATACCTCGCCTGATGTTTTCTGCTTCCCTTTGATTCGGGTTCACCCTCTCTTTTCTTTTCTCGGCTTTGCCACATTCTATTCAAGTGCATAATGAAGCGTATTCTCTTGGTGGGCTCCGGCGGTGTCGGCACCATCGCCTCCTTTACTCTAGACTCATGCAGCGATGTTGAGGTCACTACCGTGGTGAGATCCGATTATGTCACCGTGGCCGCAAATGGCTATAAAATCGAGTCCGTGGACCATGGAAACATTGACTGTTACAGGCCCTCAAAAATCGTCAGGTCCATTGACGCAGCTAGCGCTGAGGCCCCATACGACTATGTCGTTATATGCACCAAAAATACCCCGGACATCTTCCCGTTGGAGGAGTTGGTGGCACCTGTCATTAGCACACAAACGGTGGTTGTGCTTGTGCAAAACGGAATCAATATCGAAGAGGCGTTCTTTAAGAAATTTCCGCAAAATGTGGTCTTGAGTGGGGTCTCGATGATTTCGTCCACCAACTACGGCGGGGTAATCAGTCACGTGAGTCACGACTCCCTCAAAATCGGGTATTTCCCCAACATCAACTTGCCCCGGGATCTTCAGGAAAAAGTGGCGCGGGAATTTGTAGGTTACTACCAAACTGGAAAAAACACGTGTGTTTACGATCCCGACGTCAAGTTCACCCGCTGGAACAAATTGGTGTACAACGCGACGCTTAACCCGATCTGCGCATTGACCAATGTTGATGTGGGTCGCTTGGAGATGTTTGGCGGCATCGATACCTTGGTGCGCGGCGCCATGAAGGAAGTCATGGCGGTTGCAAAAGCGGATGGCGTGGATTTGCCTTTCGAGGTCATGGAGCTGATGATTCGCTCCGACGACGGCGTGTACTATGCCCCGCTGATGCTTGTTGATATCAGAAAAGGCAACTACGTGGAGCTTGAGGTCATCTGCGGCAACCCGGTGAAAATCGCCCAGAAGCTATGCGTGGACGCCCCGATTCTCACGATTGTTTACAGCTTGCTTCTGGTCGTGCAAAAACGTCTCATGGAAGCTAAGGGCAAGATCAATGTCCCGGAAAAGCGGCCCATGCCCGCGGCCGGCTAATGTGAAGACAATGCGCCGAAGGCAACGGTCGATATAATGTTCGGTACTCTGTTCAAGTATCCCAGAGTATCGCTTGCTTCTCTAGATGTCAACGCTAATGATACCACCTGGAACGACACATTTGTTTCAACTTGAATGTTGACTGAATATTGGGCAAAACCTTAATTTCAACTCTTAAATTGTCTTGGTGCTCGGGGTCAAATCTTGAGCGGGACCTATGCCCGATTCCGGGCATGCGGGCCCGCAGCGCGTAGTGCCTGATTTGAGTTTCGGATCTGGTTTCCCGCGGCCTCGTGGACGCTTATCTACCACAGTGTGTTATCAGTTGTATCGTTTGTGTACACAAACAGGCATCCCCGTGATTTTCATAAATAGGGCGATATGGACGTCGACGGTGGAAAAAAAAAATAAAGAACATCCGAGCCTCAAGAATAACATCTAATTTCAGAGCTCGTCAGTTGACACGTCTCAAGTTAATTCCAAAGCACACTTCAGATTTGATCGCCCTGGGCATAATTCTCTATTGCCCCCTAACTTTGACTGGCCTCCAACTTCGACTTTTTTCCTCAAGTTTTGACTGCCCTCACTGTATCTCAACTTGACCACTTCAATCCCATTGAAATTTGGACAAAGTTCGATAACTGCCAAAAGCCCAAATCGAAGCTCCCCTGCTATGACTGTAAAAACCACCTCGCTGCTTTTTTCATCCAAAGTGGACACCCACGCTCCTATGGTCGTGGGCGGCAAAGGAAACCATATTTACATCGAGGACCCGGTCACCCATAAAAAGCGCGAGATTTTCGACGCCATGGGCGGTGCGGCTGTAGTAAGCTTGGGACATGGCGACGAGGATATAGCCGCGGAGATCGCAGCCGCGGCCAAGGAGTGCTCATATAGCTACTGCGCTTCTATGACCAACTATTATGCAGAGAAATTGGCGCAGTTTCTCATCTCCAAATCGCCGCGCGACGCGTTTGCAGCTGCGTTGTTCACGTGCTCCGGGTCGGAGTCCAACGAAAACGGCATCAAGACCGTGCGCCAGTATTATTTGGAAAAGGGCCAGCCCGAGCGCACGGTCTTTATTTCGCGCAAACAGTCCTACCACGGGTACACTACCGGATGTCTTGCCTTGAGCGAGTCGATGCGCAAAGAGCCGTTTCGGGCTGTCTGTATGCCAGACGCACAGTTCCCCAAGGTGTCGCCATGCTACCCCTACCGGGACAAGAAAAACGACGAGACCTTGGCTCAGTACTGCGACAGGCTCCTCCAGGAAATTGAAGACACTGTATTGGCTGCAGGTCCGAACAAAGTGGCGGCTATTTTATGTGAGACTTTGACTGGTTCAACGTTTGGCACCTCGCCTGCCATTCCTGGGTACTTGGCTGGAATAAGGCGGATCTGTGACAAGTATGATATTGTCATGTGGCTCGATGAGGTCATGTGTGGCACAGGCCGCTCATCTGCCACGGGCGGCTTGCATTGTTGGGAGTCGTTCCCGGATTTTGAGGGGCCAGATTTGCAGTCCGTGGGCAAGACCTTGGGTGGTGGTTTTGTGACTATTGCCGGGCTTCTCGTATCGCCCAAAATCCACAACGCATTTGTGGAGGGCTCCAACTACATTTCTGGGGGCCAGACGTACCATCAGCATGCTTTCAACTGCCGGGTGGCCTTGGCTGTGCAAGAAAAAGTCGACCGTCTCAACTTGCGGAAGAACTCGTACGACAAAGGTGAATTGTTGGGACGTCGTTTGAAAGAAAGAGCAGGCGAGACCCAAACTATTGGCGATGTGAGAGGCTTGGGCGGATTCTGGTCGATTGAGTTGGTGAAGGACAAGATCACTAAAGAGCCCTTCGATATGCAGGTGGGTCTTGGTGCCAAGGTCTCTGCTGCGTGCCTTGCCAACGGGATGACGACAATGGGATTCGGGGGTACCGTCAAGGCTGTTAGAGGAGATCATGTGTCTGTCGCTCCTACCTTCACATTGTGTGACGATGATGTGGAGTTCATCGTTGACACTTTGATAAAGAGCGTCAAGGAGGCGGAGTACGAATTGCACCAGGACGGATATCTCTGAATAGCGTTTTCTTACATATGAGGACGCAAAATCTGCGTCAATTTGTGCACGAAAGCCGAGATCGCATGTGCGTTTTGTCAGGCATCGACTGACCTATCGCCGTGCATTATTGCGCAAATCACCCGCACAGGCACCCCGCTTCGATATTGTGACACGGGCGTTATGGAAATAGAGTTGGATGGTCGTGTGAAGATTCAACACTAAGGGTTCCCACCCGGGGCTGTATCTTCTTAACACCTTCGCATGGACGGCCATACTTTTCAGCCTTGAAAGGTGCGTTTCCGTCGGGGGATAGCGGCTCGGAGGTGAGATTTTCCGGAAAAAAAGCCTCACCACTGGGGTCAAAGTTCTGGGAGACATTCGGAAGTTGCCCTTATGGAATCACAATGGAATATTTTCCGAGTTAATAGGATGCATATTCTGGTGGGGTGCAACTGTCGCTGTGGGGCGTTGCGCCTTGGCAACTACAAATTAAGCCAATGATATTGACGTACAACCTGACTCAAATAAGTCCGAATGAAAAGTTATGCTCAAATAGGAAGTCACACAGGCCCAGCTGTTGAAAAATGGCTCAACTTCTTGGCATACGATTAGTCTACAGTACCGGTTACTCGGCCGAGGAGGTTTGTGCATATCTTTGCATATCTCGAAACGCTGCATGCCGTACACTACATACAGCTCACTCTATGCTTGGAAGTGAATGCTTGTTCCCGCCGCGTGAGCCTGTCAACCACAAAATGCGCTTATAGAGCTTATAGTCTCTGGGTGTGCTTGGAGAAGGTATTTGGAAATTTCTAATATGGAGGGAGGCCTGTTGAGGCCTGTTTGTGGTAGCATCCGTTCAAGGCAGTTCCTGTCGAGTATTGCAGTACACGTACCTGCATGAAACCTTCTCAACTCTGATTCGCTGCAATGTGTGCTTACAATGCAAGCGCATTGGAGTTGGTATGTACGTAAGAAATTCGGGGGCTTTTGAGTGAGAAAAAAAAACCCTCACGCCGCCCAGAAATGCTATCATATCCATCTCATCTGATCTGATCGATCTTTTCGATCTTGCGCGTATTTAATAAGCGAGATCACCCTGCGGTAGAGCCAACTCTTTATTTCGCAACCACTTTTTTTTTCTTTATTTATACCAGTTCTAAGCATGGCCGACATCAAGCCAGTCTCCCCTCCTCGGTCATCCGAGGAGTCCAGAATTGGCGACGAGAAGCTTGACGACACGCATTCCCCAGCCTATCTTGATGAGGCAGGCCAGGTGCATCCAGATGGCACGCCATTTTCGTCCACCGCCAGATCCTACGGTGTGCGCAGAACCGAGCTCATGACGGCCCAGTTTTCAACAACGTGGTTGAAAATCGCGTTTTATGTTGCTGCTTTTCTCTGTTCGTATGTATATGCCTTGGACGGCACCTTGAGATCCACCTTCACCGTTTATGCCACCAGCTCGTACTCGCAGCATTCGCTTTACACCGCAGTGGCTGTGATCAGAGCAGTGATTGCCGCAGCATCACAGCCAACGTATGCTCGGTTGTCCGATAGATTTGGCCGTTTGGAGTTGTTCTTGGTGTCCATCGTATTTTATGTTGTTGGCACGATCATCCAGTCTCAGGCCTACGATGTGCAGCGTTTTGCCGGTGGAGCAGTGTTGTATCAAATCGGGTACTCGGGCGTGCAGTTGCTTTTGGAGGTCACGTTATCGGACATGTCCACGTTGAACTGGCGGTTGTTTGCTTCGTTCATTCCTGCACTTCCGTTTATTATCAATACCTGGGCCTCGGGCTACATTGCAGCGGACATCTTGGCCGATCACGGGTGGAGTTACGGAGTGTGGATCTGGGCCATCATATTCCCTGCCGCGTCCGTGCCGTTGCTTGGCTGTTTCATTTATATGAGAGTCGCCGCAGGCAGAACCGAGGAATGGGCGCAAATCAAGGCAGAGGAGAAAGAGGAGCAGAAGGGCAAGAACATCTTCAAAGAGTTGTTCTGGCAGCTTGACGTGGTGGGCATCTTGCTTATTATCTGTGTGTTTGGTTTTATCTTGGTGCCGTTCACGCTTGCGGGGAATAAAACGGCCAGCTTGGTGACGTCCTCGGAGGCCTGGAAACAAGCCAAGATCATTGCGCCTTTGGTGGTGGGCGTGTGTCTCATTCCGGTGCTCATTTTGTGGGAGGGCAAGTGGGCACGTTTCCCCATCGTGCCGTTCGCTCTTTTGAAGGACCGTGGAGTGTGGGCTGCTCTCATCATCGCATGTCTTGTCAACTTCATTTGGTACATGCCCAACAGTTTCATGTACACGGTGTTGGTGGTGGGCTTGAACACGTCCATTCTCGCGGCCATCCGGATCACGTCCTTGTACTCGTTCGTGTCGGTGATCACCGGTCCTCTTTTGGGATTCGTGCTTGTCAAGGTTAGAAGAACCAAGGCGTTCATCATTTTCGGCTGCGCCATGTGGTTTGTGGCCATGGGTATCCTCTACCACTTCAGAGGGTCCAATGACGGAGTCAACAACGAGTACGTGAAGCACGGAATCATTGGTGGTGAGTGCTTGATGGGCTTCGGGGCTGGTTTCTTCACCTACGTGACCCAGCTTTCCATCCAGACCTGCACCAACCACGAGTACATGGCCGTGGTGCTTTCGCTCTACTTGGCGTCGTACAACATTGGCTCTGCCTTGGGCTCAGCCGTATCCGGGGCCATCTGGACCCAGCTCATGCCCAGCACAATTGCCCAATATATGGAGGCGCTTGGTGCGGACCCTTCCACTGCCACGGAGGCCTACCAGTCACCGTTTACGTTTATCACGGAGTACGCGTGGGGCTCTTCTGAAAGAATTGCGGTTGCCTTGGCCTACGCAGACATCCAGCGTAAAATGATCATCGTTGCTCTCTGCTTGTGTGCGCTCATGTTGGTGATGTCTCTTTTGTTGAGAGACCACTATTTGGCCAGTGTGCAATCCTTGGACCAGGTTCACGACCACCGGGATGGAGTCAACGGCAGCCAGCCTGTTCTTGGCCGCACTGTTGTGGTGAACGATTACGATAACGATCCTATTGCGCAGTTCTTCCGGGGCATTTTCAAGCGCAACAATGCCCAGGCCTAGTTCATGGACACTGACTAGTTTGCCCTTTGTATTAATTAATTAATTGAATGTTTATGTTAACCGTGCGTAGGCGTCATGGAGTACGTTGAGTATGTTGGGTTGGACATGGTCCGATTGGCGAAAGTCGGTGGCTGTTTGCTTTTTGTTTTTTGCAGTGGCGAATTCACTAGATTCTGATCTCTCTTGGTTCCATGAATGAACATTTTGACGGGGGAGGCAATCGTCTGTTGGAGGCACTGAGAATACCACTTGGTTCATTCTCTTTTTGGTGATTGGGCCGAAGCCACTAGACATGGGCAAAGACCCTCCGCCAGACACACGGAAGGAGGAGCAATATACGAACGATGATGGCCTTTGTTGAATGGGCATCTCACAAAATGGTCAGCAGAAGTATCCGAGCCACATCAAGGCCTACTCACGGCTTCCCGAGCTTAGGAATGTATCAGCCCAGCTGCTCCCCACGTTGCGTGCATCATCTGTTCTTTTTCAACGACACTAGAAAATCTGAAACCAACGGTGAAGACACCTTTTGAAACATTCAGATGCGGCAAAAGTCAATTGTACTCACATAAAAGGCGATACATGCCCAAAACAATCATGCGCCATGTAGTTCCGAGCGTACATCAAAGCCAGCCTTAAAGAGGACCAGCTATCGCCACCATATCACGCAATACCCCAGACAAAATACCTACGAAAGCCCGCTCTCGGCCTCCTCAAACATCTTGAACGTGTTCCGCGCATCATCTTTCATTTCCTGGGCCATCTGAACCAAAGGAGCCAGCAGCTTGTTGAACATCACGCAGTTCGTGAACATGAGGATGATATCGCGCTCGAGCTCTTTCACGGTGGTGTAGACAGCCTGGTCCTGTTTCTTCTTGACCCCTTTCAATATGGACTTCAAATCCTTCGGGTGCTTGATCACTTTTTTGTAATTCGGGGCGTTGACCGCAGCCAAGAACGGGGACGAGAACCGGTGTGCCTCGATTGACTTGATCAAGTTGACGGCGATGGTCTGGAAGCGCTTGTACTTCTGTGCGGCTGTCAAGTTTGGCTTTTCGGGGACAGGCGTGTCTCTGTTTTGCCTGGCTTTTTTTGCTTCTGGCTCGGGAGTATTTGTCTGTGAAGCTTCCATTTTCCTCTTTCGGCGACCGCCAGGCGCTGCTCGGCTGCTCTCCTGAGGTTTCGCTTCTTCCAAAGACGGGCTTTCTCCTTTTTCTGTATGTTGGCGGTCAGGCTGCTCGATCTTGATGTCTTTAGTATGACTTTCAAGTATGCCCGGAGCCTTGGAAACAGGGAGTGTGTTACTAAAGGCCCGATTCACTTTGATGTTTTCTGGGTTCTCGTTTTGCTGAATTGGATCAGCAACAGCTTGAACGGCGGTGCCAGCGCCCAAAGATGCCTGTGTGACCTCATCGTTTGACACAGCTTGGGAAGCGGGCTTTGGCTTTTCCAGCATGTCGCCCGAATGGTCAGGTGCACCCTCCAAATCCTCGTTCTTTTTGTGGTTTTCCTGCTGGTTTTGCCCAACAATGTGCTGTACTTCGGGGACCACACACTCCAGCTCCACATCCACCTTTTCCTGTGTTTCATTTTCGCTGGGCTCTTCAGTGCTGCTCTTCTCGCTTTCTGCGAGGAGGGCCTGGGAGCTTCGTTCGATTTCGTCGGACAGCGACCCGTCACGTGGCTGCGGCACGTCTTCCGTTCCGGAATCAGTGGCAAGCTTCATTTCATTGGTTCCCCTCGTTTGCTCTTCTGTTTTGATCGCTTTGGCATCCTGTTGCAATGAGTGCACTTCGTTCTCACTTCCCCCAGATTCTTCAGTGTGTTCCGAAAGGCTTTCGCCAGTAATTCCTCTGGTGCCTCTAGGTGCTTCGCTGACTGCAGAGACAACACCTTCGGTTTGAACAGCATCAGCCGGCGCAAGCCCTGCCCTGTATTTGGAAGATTGCGGCATCAAGCCCGTTCCCTCGTCCAGTCCTGCTTTGGGCCCGCCGGCCTCGGCCGCTTTTTTGCCAGTTTCAATATCGTGCGTTTCTCCCCCTGTTCTGGTGTTTTTCTCTTTCTGAACGGACAGTTCTAACGAAGCATGCTCGCTTATACTATCGACACGAGGGGGGCGCACATCGTCCGGGGCCAGTGAGTTCAATGTACCGTCTGCAGCGTCAATGTCCATTTCATCCCCATTTGCACTTTGGTCGCTTGTGTTTTCTGTCTGGTCCGGCGTGGTTTCCACACCGAGACTCTCGGAACCAGCCATAAGCACATCTTTCGGCATGTGCATTTGTGCCGAAACCGGCGCGGATTCGGCCTCTTTGTTTTCAAGAGACCGATACTCGTCCTTGAGGCTCTGGAGCTGGCCGATCAAGCCGTGGCCGTACTTGATGGAAGCTTCCACAACGACATCGAGAAGCGTGGCCTCGATCTTATCTGCGGGTCCCAGCAACACAAGCTCGGCGGGGACTCCTGAGCATAAATTAAAGATCTCATTCAAGCCACTGGTTCGTATGAGTTCAACGAGCGCAGAACCGTCGATGGGCGGGTTGTGAGGAGAATACCCGAACGCCTTTTCGTAGGTCTGGAGTCTAGATGCGAAGTCATGTACGGCCGAGGCGAGGGGAATTTTACAGGGCCCAGAATCCGTTTCAAAAAGACGGTCTTTGATCACGTGCACTAGCACCACGAGCGAAAGCTGCTGCTCCGGCATGGCCATGGCGTTTCGGGCGGTGAGTTTCTGGTGTTTTCGGTTGTTTGGAGCAGACTGCATGGACGGCCGGATGGGCATATGTGAGATCTGGGAACATCGTGTCCAGATCACCGACAAGTGCATGTTCCGAGGGCGGGCCGACTGGAGGGCCTGGTTTTAGTTGTACGCATACTTTCTACATCTATAGTCAAATATAATGTAGGCCTCTTCGTGGGCCGGTGCATGTTGTGGCGTAATATATATACATAAAGATCGAGCGGGCAGCACCACCTTCGTGAGGCCCCTGCCGTTTACGGTTTCAGTCCCTTATTTTTTTTGCATGTTCTGCATCAACATGGCGCTGGATGGTTAGTACTGGTGTTTGGAGTTTGGGGTCGTATTTCTGGGGTATGGGGTCTTTTGTCTGGGGTTTGGGTCCTTGTTCTGGGGTTTGGGGCAACCACTCCTTTCCCCGCTTTCTACATCAAATCAACATACTTTTGCTCCTGGAATCTCTGGCCGACCCGTTCGCTGTGCTTCAAGAATTTCTCGGAACACTTGAAAATACACGAGGACTCCTTGCTGGTCAAGTTGGCCGAAGTGAAGTCATTGACACAGTCGTCGAAACATCTCGACACCAAGTTGGAGTACAAGCGCATGAAGTCCTTCATCTGCTTCTGCTCGACAACCTGCTGGAATTCCTGCTGTTCCTTGACGTTCAACTGATCCATTTTGTGTGTGTGTTTTTTTAATTAGCAAGGTGTTGTTCCTGCTTGGCCGGGCTCACTTGCTCTGTACTTAAAAAGTTTTCATACTGGGAACAACACGACCGCGAACCCTGGGGCAAGCTTCGAGTGAGCTGCTGCCTTGGGGATAGCTAAGACCAGAAGCTGGTTCACTGATTTTTGGGTCAGTGGATATTGATTCGAAAACTTAAAAAAAAAAAAAATACTCCTGGAGTTGGCATGGGTTTCCATGTGCTGGCCAAATCGCGTTGTGTGGATCCTACAACAGGACCAGTAAGACTACTTCTGTTTTATTTTCTTTTGATAGACATGACCGAAATATGGAAGCCTGTTATTGTAGACCTAGCCTTGGCGCTTTGCCGGTCTTTGCTTGCCGCTTGGTGTTCTTGCATTCATGTCGCCGACCGCGATCTAATTATCTCATTGATAAAAATGGGTTTTGTCCACGACATCTGACCGGCTTTCTTTGCTTTCCTGTTTGCGACATCTGGGGCCAGGAATAAAGCCAGGCTGCTTTGCTAGACAGCCTGCAGAAACCAGCCATTTCTATGTAGTCTTGTCCCTTCCTTGTTGCATGTTTAAATCGATGACCACGGTTTTGCTCGTGATTTGCCACTCCCCACAAACACTGCCCGAAATCCCGGTTTCAAGTGATCACACAGCGATGAGAACCATGGATTGAAGAACGTACTGGGGGCATTCATGCTAACAACTGCGAAGCATCCAAATACTGGTGGTAAGAGCTAAAAAGTGCCGAGCCCATGAGTCTGAACGCCGTGTTGGCCCTGGCCGACAACTCTCTGGAGAAATGACCCAAATTGATTTGGTTCGTCACCACGATTTTCATACACTCGGGCGTGGCGAGTCGCAGTAAGTTGGCACTTTTGGGCTACAACTGTCTGAGTTGAAAAGATTACTACAGGAGACTTATCCTCGGAGTCGATGACGTAATAGCCAATAAGTAAACGAGCCAAGAGGCCCGTCCAGGCCGTGACTAATGGATTGGGGCGGCCGAGGTTCGACACTTGGTACGTGGCAGCTGTTTGAAGTTTATATCTATATTACTTATAGTCGTCTATATGTATTTGTAATGGTTTATTAGCTATAGTTGTTTTTTATTACTTGTAGTCTCTTGTATGTATTATTGATGATTTTTTATATATTGGTATAGTCGGTTATGTATTACCTAGGGTCTTTTATGTGTATTATTGATGATCTTTATATATATATGTATAGTTTTTAATATATAACATATAATCTTCTATATGTATTATATATATTTTTTTAGATTAGTCATAGTTTTTATATATTACCTATAGTCTTTTACATGTATTATGGATGGATTTCTTACATATTACTCATCAGTTAATGATTACTTAAAGTCTGTCATACATCTTACTCATATATTACTGCTCCCTTTCAGATGAATCACCAAATAGAAAAATGCTAGTTAGATGAAGCGGTCGGGTCTAAATTGGCTTGCGCAGACACCCATCTCTTGATGGTTCATCGTTGCGTGGCTCCTACAGCGGTGCTTATGGGGTCTTCATTGCACAATCTATAATAGAGTCCGAGGTACTAACAGTGGAATTGAGCCGCTGTGGCTGAGCACTCGTCACCCTCGGGCGTGTGTTTGCCCGGAGGCATTCCGGCCGCCGCATCAAGAACGCTTCCTGTTGGAGGCAGATGCAGAAGGCGGATCCGGCGCCAGTGGCACCGGGATCAACAGTGTCTGGCGTAGGCTGGGGCTCTTTCTTGATGAACATGCACGCTTCGGCAGACCAAAGCCCATATCTTGTATAGGGCCTTTTCCACGACGTAACGTCGGCCCGGGCCGCCTCTGCAGCGGCCAGCGTGCCGGCGCCGGCCACGCAGCCCACGCACCAAGCACGCGCCATTCTCCCCCGGGCTTGCTCTGCCGGGCGCGGCTAGCACGCGCACACGTTGGGCGCCCGTGGAAACGCGCTGATGTCCCTGATGTTGTCCACGGCAGCCAAGTACGCGAGGAGCCGCTCGAAGCCCATGCCGAAGCCGCCGTGCGGCACGGAGCCGTTCTCGCGCGTGCTCAAGTACCAGCGCATGGCGTCGCGCAGCATGCCGCGGCTGGCCATCTCGGCCTCGAGCGTGGCGAGGTCGTGCTCCCGCAAGGAGCCGCCCACCAACTCACCGAGTTCCGGCACGAGGAGGTCGAAGCAGGCCACGGTGGGCCGCGCCGCGTCGCCGCTGGCGCGCATGTAGAACGGTTTCTGCGCCTTGGGGTAGTCGGTGACGAACACCGGCAGCTGGTAGTGGCAGCCCGCGAGCCACTTCTCGTCCTCGGTCAGGAGCGGCGCGCCCCACGCGAGCCGGCCCTGCAGCCGGCCCTTGTACTTGAGCGCGTTCAAGGTCTCGAGCGCCTCGGAGTACGTGACGGACGGCCAGGGCGCCGGCAGCAGCACCTGGGCCCACGCGGCCCGGATGCGCGCCACGTCGTCGCGCGAGTGGCGGGCCGCAAGCAAGTCGTGCTGCGCGCCGGCCGCCCACTCGCCGCCGGCCGCCAAGTGGGCCACCACGTGGCGCACCATCTGCTCCACGAACGCGGTCAACTGGCCCACGCTGGTCACGTAGCAGAGCTCGGCCTCGAGCATCCAGAACTCGCTCAAGTGGCGCGGCGTGTTGGACGTCTCCGCGCGGAAGCACGGCGTGAGCGTCCACACGCGGTTCAACGAGAGCGCAAGCACCTCGAGGTGGAGCTGCGTGGACACGGTCAAGTACGCGGCGGTGCCGAAAAAGCCGCCGCCGCCACCGCCGTCGGCCGTGCTCTCGCCGAGCGGCCGCACCTGGAACTGCTCGCCCGCGCCCTCGCAGTCGGACGCGGTGATGAGCGGCGGCGCGACCTTGACCACGTCGTGCAGCAGGAAGAACGCGGCCACGGCGGCCTCGGCTCGCGCGCGCATGCGCAACACGGACGAGAGGAGCGCCGTGCGGTGGCGGAGCGTCGGCGCCGAGCGGAGGAACGCAAGCGTGTGGCGCTTCTTCTGGATCGGGTAGTCGGGCGCCACGTCGCCCAAAACGGCAATGCCGTGCGCCGGGTCTTGCGTGTCGCACGCGAGCTCGAACGGCTGCCGCCCGCGCGACGGCGCCCACCGGCCCGTGACCTCCACGCTCTGGCCCACCTTGTACTGGTGGGCGGCAAACACGGCGCCGGGGTCGCTGACAATCACGCTCAAAGTGCCGTGGCCGGACCCGTCCGAGAGGTCCATGAACCCGACGTTTTTGAACGTGCGGAGCGCCTTGATGTGGCCGCGCGCGGTGGCCTTGGTGTGGGGCTCGGGCGGCGTTTCCATGAGCTGCCGGATCGTGGGTGCAAGCAGACTGAGCCGGGCGCTGCGAGCGAGTGCCGGGGGCCGGTTTTGGCGGGCGGAAAGGCCCGCGGGTGCCCAGGCGGCGGCGCGGGCGCGGCCGGACACGAGGCGCTGCGGCAACATGGCGTTTCCGGGGTGTTTTGGGGGTGTTTTGGGGTGTTTGTGTGCAGAGGCTTGCAGAAGAAAACGGCACTATGGGGAGCGAGGAGGGTTTGGGGACGCGCGGTCGGGAGGTCTGGGGCGCGCGTCGCGGCTCCAGGGCCTGGATGAAGAGGCGGCCCGGGGACGTTTATATGGAGCGTCGAGGTACGGGGCACTGGGGGAGACCCGGTGGTGTTTAGGAAGAGAAGTTTGTGATTGCCGGGTTTTATTTGGTTTTGCGTTTTCAGTAGAAACATCGTGTTATAGGGTGTCACTGGGGAGATCTGCCATTGGTGATTATAAAGAGAGAGTCTAATAGATTGCAGTTGGCTCCGAGAAGGCGCGGGACCAATGAGTCTGCTCATGATTAATGTCACCACTTGGGTAAATTGATTAAGTGTCTACCCGTGGGATACGATTTCCTGAGGGTCCGGCCATGGTTCTTTTTTTTTATGGAAACATCATATTATAGGGTGCCCCTGGGGAGACCCTCCATTGTTAATTATAAAGAGAGAGTCTAATAGATCGCACCATTGTCTCCGGCGAGAAGGCGCGAGCACCAACTAGCGAAATCGCCCAAGGAGGATGTGTCTTCTTGAAACGACAACTACCACGATAAACAACTAAATATCTTTGCCCGCAGCATATCTTTCCCTCGTAAGTTTCGGCACTGGCTCATTAAATCCGTTCTGCTTGATTCTTGCGTTGGTATGGACCTCCATTTCTTTGTTGGCGTCATCCGATACGTGGAGCCCCAGAGCGAGCCCATTGAATGCGGAAATATCATTGCCAATCATATGGGTACA